GGCCGCCGCGGCGGCCTCTTACCGCCCGCATCCGGTCGCGGCCGCGTCCCGCGCCGCCGCTCTCACCTACTCCATGAGCGATCTGCTCGGCGTGCAGGGCCTCGACATGGGCGCCGTTTACCATCCGATACCTACTATCGGCCTATGACCTACGATACTCACGCCCCTCTCGCGGCCGCAATAAATCGCGCCGCGCGATTTTCCCGGGGGCTCGTACCTTTGCGCGTCCGACCTGTGTTGTTTCGTTTGATTTCGATCGGTCCGTAGTCGTTTCTTTCTCTGCGTTACTTACTCCCGACAACAAGGTTTTTCTCGGTCTCGTTGTAGCACGGATAAGTCGTAGGGATAAGTTCAACAATCCGCGCGTGTCGAAGAATGATGTAGTGAGTAGTGATTTTAAAATGCAAACGCGATAGTCTCTCTAATTTTCTTTAGAGATTGTATTTTGATATGTGCCAAAAATTAGATTCTTCAGAATGAATCGCATAAATTACACGGTTCGGAGCTCGATAAGTTGACTATATTTTTATAAAAGGAATCAGTATTTTATCGAGTCTATTTAATGTAAGACTCAATTGGCCAACGTATTGTTCAAGATTTTGACTTCTTGTTAATTATAGATTCCAATAAAGAACTAGTGTCTCTCATAGCGTATGAGTTATTTTATTCAACGAAATATTACTAGATTTTAAACGATATTTTGTACATTCCTCAATTGAGACTGTTTTAGACTTCGTTTTGAAGTAGTCAACGAAGAAAATCGAAAGTATTAATTAATATATGTCGATTAGAGGGGTGATCGAACGACCGGATGTGATAGATATCGATATCGAAAAGTGCAATATCGTAGATTAGAAAGACAGCTCGTTCTTATTTGCCGGTTTGAGATACATATCGAGGACGCGATACTGTTCGCGGTTTACAATGTTCGGCAAAACTGTGATCGTAGAAACAGAACGCGTAGCAAATTGCAGATATACTCGACGCGTAGTAGTTACCTATGTGGCCTCATTTTCTTGTAGCGAAAAATTTAGACAACGAGACGAACGTATCACATAAAAAAAGACTGGTAGTTATTTCGTAGATAATTAGTAAACGCAGGTAGTAGGACAATAAAAACGAGAAATCGAACTCGGAACAAAAATTAAATAATTTGACAAGAGAGACATTCTAGAATATAAATAAGTAATGAGATGAATCTTAAATGAACGTGAACAGAAAATTATCATTTGAAACTTAATTATTAGTTATTGCTCGAATTTACTATTGCTTAAAAAAAAAAAAAAAAATAGATTCCGAGTAATATGCGCCAGTGATTTTCGGACATCCCGTATAGATATGTACCTAATGATCCATTATAGATTACGCCAGACGATATATAAGTTATATTGTTTTGTACATCTTACCTATTTGGTAATACTATAGCATTTGATATTGATATCGATATATTTTGTGAGAGCCGCATATTACACCTTATAGTTTTTTGTAATAGATCAAACAGATATACATATCTTGAAGCTATATATATCTATCTATCTATCTATACATATCTAGGTAATTAGGTAAACATTTGTGTTGTTACCAGACCTTAGATATTATTGAAACTCTAGGCGCTCTAGGTTCGATTAGTTAGAGCGAATCAGTTTTGGGCGAATTAATATACTATGTACACGTTCCTACCGTTGAAACTACTAGTGGACTTATAGCTTTTGGGAAGTCACTATAATATCGTTAGCTTAGATTATACTTTAGGCACTTCTTCGCGGAAGATCGTGTGTAGGCTCGCTTGCTCGATTATCGACAGAGAATTGCTCCGAAAGAGACTAGAATTTCGCCTCTGTCGTAATAATCCTACTCACATTCGCTTTAGAAAAGCTTATTCACAATGAGTCTTTTTTTTCGAGAAAAATGAAATATAAAGCGAGAAGCTTCAGCGTCTTCCGCAAAGAACACGCATTTTAACAGCGGCTTCAAAAGAGACCTATTACATTGTACCTACTTACTTAACGAGCTACGTTACATAGTACATTTATATTACGTTACACGTAATATTATACCTCTCTATATAGGATACATACTAAATATATATTGTGCGTATACCTGTCTATACCTATGCCTCAGTCTCCTAGTATTCCTACTCATATACTACTTGTTACATAGTATTTAACTCTTTTTAAATTACATAGTATCGTTTATCTTGATAATAATGCGTGAGTCGTGTGTGTCCTAGACAATACGTACTTAGCCCGAGAGGCGCAACACTGTCAGTTTCGTAAGTAGACCAGACCTTGAAGAGATTTGTTTGAACGAAACGCACTTTCGTTCCGTTGGCCTTTGTGATGCTTGGCTGGGGCCGGATTTAGGTTTCACGGGATTATAGAATGTCCGTCACTCACATACACATACGATTTGTAACGGGGGCGCAGAACGGACTCAAGACGGAATGCACCCCCGATACACGGCCTCGCGAATGTTCACATCTCTCCCCAAGTGGAACGCATCAAAAGGGGAAACATAAAATTCTAGTAAGAGTAGCTCAATGAATTCCACGTTGCCGAAGCCCCATCGATGTGACGTAAATGTTAATCGACCGGCAACTCGATCGTAAACTCGAGCTGAGACAGGCTTTATGCGCTCCTCGGAACTGCGAGAGACTGTTAATGTTAATGTCGTACGTAAACGTCTGCTCTACGTGAGATCGATATGTTGCATCTGAGAAAGTACACAGGGTGTATTACGTAGATGCCGTATAGAAAGCATGCGCGTAATTCGCGCAAGAATATTTTACGTAGTATCGTCGAGATCTATTCACGTGTGTTTCGATGAAGTGATAAAGATATATATATCTATTATTATGCTCCAACGCGCGCGCGCGCGCGCGCGATTCCATTGAAATAAATGCGAGATAGTACTCGACGTATACATGCAAATTTTATTGTAGCTCGGAAGAATTTAGAAAGCCATTAAGACACAGAGAAAAAAAAAAAAAAGAGAGCAAAACGATAGTAAAATGCCATTGAGCGCGCTTGACGTAATCAAAACCAGCCCGGTAGAGAGACTTTAGGTACGGAATTTACGGAATTATTAATAAACGCAGGTAGTAGGACAATAAAAAAACGAAGTGTTCAAATTTAGAGAAAAAAAAACGGACCGAAATGATCCAATGTTGCTCAATAGTAGATCGCCGTCGCGTTGAACGTATCTCCTTCGGGGATTGTCTTTCAATTTATATATTTGCAATGTTCAATGAAACGCATAATATGCAAAAACAATTTAATCATCCATGATATGTAGCAAAAATTAAAAAATTTATTGCTTCTTAAAATAAATGATACTAAATATAGGAATAAAATTTATGGAACTCTTGATCTTTCGATCTTTGCAACATAATAATCTATTCTGACGTTTCTGGATGTGAAACATATTTCTGCACGATCATGATAATATTTTTAATTCGAAACTGATATATAACATATGTTAGAAGCTTATAAAAGATTGAAACTATAATAACAATTTAAGATATTTGATGTATTGTGGTGTTTAATCAAAAAGTATATATATATACACTTTGAAAGATTAAATATAATTATAGAAATATATATTTTAATTAATAAGGATAGATAAAATGTACGAAGAGAAGGTAACTGGTATAAGTCATGTCTAATCAAGTTTCGATCATCTGCCAACATCGATAATTAAGTTCTCGGCGTCCATCACACTTGCCGTTAAAAGCATTTCAATTAAAACGCTGTAGAACTTAACGCCGACATCGAGCCTTCAACGAAAGAGAAACGATAGAACAGGAAATCGAAGGACAGGTGAGCTCCTGTCGTGCGACGATTTTCAGGTCACCCCGATGGGAAAACGAAACGACAATTCCCCGATGGAGAGATCGTATGTTCGCCCGGTGGCTGTCAATTCGTTGGTAGAACTTAGTTGAAATTTTAGCGACGCGAACAAAGAGCTCTAAACGTAGAAATGGCCGTCTGCGAGGTTACGCGCGACGAGACCGGATGATAATTAAAAGCCGCGATGTGGAATATGCGGGAGAGAGAAAAAAAAAAAACAGTTTCGCGTTTTTCGTGGCATATTTTCGAGCGTTTTTCAAAAAAAAAACAAAAAAAAACGGCGGGTTATTTATCGGGGCAAAAACACAATCGTTCGCTCAATCGGCGAGCGCGCTCTTCGTCGAGGCCGTTGATTACGAATATTTTATCAGAAAACAGAAATATAAAATAAAAAGGAAAAAAACACACATTCCCAGGTAGCGGTGCGCCGCGTGTGCCGCGATACACGAGAGCGATAATTGAAGGAAATCAATTAGCGGCGAAGCGCCGACAAAAATTGTCGGCGATCGCGACGAGGGGGCGGTTAGCGCGACGAGAGCTCGCAGCAAATGGTCGGTGCACTTCTCACATTTTTGTCGCGCCTTCCGGAATATTTTTCGCAAGTGACTTCATGAAATTTCATAATTTCGAAGCAAAAAGGAACTTTAGTGTTCTCTAAACGTTATTAAGATACTCAGAAAAAAAGAAACACAAACTCTCGGCACTATCTATATGTATATACATGCATACGTGAATCTATATACATATACGCGTATACATATATAATATATTTATATTCTATATACTTTGTATGGGATGTCTCAAAATTAGCGGTAACGTGTCCATAACGTGTTTTATGGATTGATCTCTCTATCATTCTCTTTCTTACTCTTTCTCTACATCTTTCTTTCCCTTTCTCTCTCTCTCTTTCTCTCTCTCTTTCTCTCTCTCTCTTTCTGTTTCTCACTCTCACACATATTTTCTTATTCTCTGATTAACCTAGAAAGCTTCTAATCCTGTTTCTTCTCTTCTTTTCTTCTTACGTTCTCTTTATCGTTTGGACCTAGTCATCCGTTACACTTAAATCGTTGATCCCGACGAATTTCTGCAACGCTTTGCTTCATATATTTAACTTATCTCCATGTACATATTCTTAAATGTCTATGCCTATCTTTCGCCTGCTCGAGGAAAAATATTGGTCCTGCGGTATATAATTTTAACGGAATTGACACGCAAAAACTTGATTTTCGACGTTAAAGTCACTTCTAAAGTTCTCAAGCGATCAATATCTTTCTTCGTACGTAGTTGCAGAAATTTTGATGGAGACTTGAAATCGTTGCACTAACGAACACGCAATATGAATGAAGGGAAAAGAATTGAAAAAAAAAAGTGAAAAAAGAGAAAAGAAAAAAAGAGAAAAAATGTGTTGTACTCGCAACACATTGATTTATCTTGAGTCTACATTTTAATCGAATCTATTTTTCCTTATAGATTTTATGTGGTCTCTGGGAGCATTACCTGATGGTGAGTATGAAATATATATAAGCTTATATCTAGTAAACTCGATACTTACTGATGGCTGCTATTATTATAACTCACGGACATAGCTAAAATAATAGCGATATCATATGACCTGATAACCTTGATATTATACATTATCACCTATTTCATTACTTTAACATGTATTTTATCTGTAACATATATTTTAATTGACTGATATAATTATATATAAACGTTAGAATTTATCAGATTAGCTGTTAACTTTATTAGCTTCTATATTAATGTAAACTTAACTTGATTATTAATTAGCAGAATATAGAGATATGATTATATAATAGATATAACTTAATAGGTTTAATTTAGTCATTATCAGATAAAGATAAGTTTCATCGCATCTTTTATATATTTTCATCAATTTTTCTATTATTAATCCAATCCAATAACTTACAAAATTGTGCTAAGAAAGTCTTTCAGAATTTTTAGTTTCTCTCTCTCTCTCTCTCTCATAAAAATAAAATAACAATTTTTTTAAACATTTATTATAAAAACAATGATAGTTGAATATGGCATTATACATTGCATATTTTTTCATTAGTGATTTGCGATTTATGAAATAAGATAAAAATGTTTTCAAATTTTCATGTTTTTTTTTAAATTATTTTAAAATTATTTTTAATTAATTATATATATATATGAAAGAGGTCAAAAATAAAATAAAATTATATAGCGGAATTTGAAGATAAAATTATTATGTTTTCGCATATTACAAAAATCGAAACATATGTAATTATAATAAATAGTGGCACTAAAAATGCAAAAGAATTAAACGACTCTTGGTGTTTAACAACATTGCCATTCAAAAGCGCAAACCATCATACGATCTTGAATATGAGAAAGAGAATATAATGGAAATCTTCGTTATATTTGCAGGTTTCCCAGCGGCAGCATACGCGGCATACGCGGCGGGCCGCGGCTATTCTGGGTACCCTAGTTTCGGATTACCCTACCCGACAGGTAACCATCTTAGTCTTAACCATCTTAATCACCACAATGCGGCCCACATCGCGCCACTGAACTTGAACTTAAACCTCATACAGGCGCAGCCCGCGCCCCACCATAATCCGCCCACCCCGACACCGCTCTTTTACCATCCTAATCTGGACCTCTACAACGCCATGCCTCTGTGAACTAACTCGCCGAACTAACGGTACCGACCCGAGCTGTGTGCGCGCACTCTAACCCATCGCTACACGCTAATTGACTATGCTGTCGCTTCGTCCATCCGGATCCCATCGCGATGAGAGAGCGTGTCGCGGCGCGATTAATATGCCGGGCGGGAGATAGGCTCCGTGTTATCGAGGAGACTCGTGCGATTCGAGAGCGTGGCAGAACCACGCGATACCCGCGTGGAAACTGTACGCGAGACAAGTGGTCATTCGCGTCGGGAGCTGCGAACAGGACGACAGCCCGGAACGCTAGCAGGTTCCGCTGAATGCGCTATTCCTCTTCGCGTGGAAAGGGACAATAAAATTCCTTAAAACGCGGGGAGAGGATTCCTCTTTAAAGCAGAGACAGTTCCGATTTCACAAAGTTTCACGCCGCTCTCGACAGCGCCAAAGTCGGGATAGGACAGGCGAGAAGGGAACGGGAACGCGAAAAATGCTGCGTCGTGAGAAACTTTGTCTGGTGTTACAAGATATTCGGGGATAAATTATTAATGTCGAGCGGTGTCGGCTTGCCGACACGACTGCTCGCTCCGGCTGCGATATCGGCCTCGCTTCTCTATGAAAAAGTTTGTACATTATTGGAGTGCTTATTCGATACTTGTCGCGCGCGATGTTGGTTTCGCATATTTTCTTACAAAACGAGCATACCGTCGGGGCAGGAGCCAGCGGTGAAAATCGTACAAATCGATAAAACTTACTATATCAAAGTTTCCTCGCCGCGTTAATCTAAGAACGCTAAAGAAAGATTTGTTACTTTGATATACGTACCGATAAACATTTTAATCTACATTTATTTGCGCGCATTAATTAGCTAAATGGATTTCGTACGACTATCATTTTGTTATACTTTATTTTTCTACTATATTTTTAAATGACATTTAAAAAAAAAAGAGAACAATGCATTTCATAGAATATAAGTAATGTATTCTCTTTCTCGTTTTGCGATAGACAATAAATCAGCGGGTGTTTGCGAAAAAGTGGCATTACCCGTGGATTTGGAATTTATTGAGCTGTTATAGCCGCGGTGTACTATTGACTCTCTCTCTCTCTTGTGTTGAGGCTATAATTTTTAAAGAATTTAATATCTCAAAAAATTGCATGTATTGTATATACGAATGAAAAAGCAGAGAAAGGAATGCGCGCGAATATATTACGCCAAGTGTAAAATGACTCGCAATTCGAGCGATTTTATTCAATTTATTGATATATTATCGTTCGAAAATATTTCGGTAAGCCACTCTATGTGAAATCAATCATTCCTTCCAATAACGAATGCATCGCAATAGCAATCTCAATAAAAGCAAATATCCAATCAATGTTTGAATACATCAGCGAATACCACTAAATATTGAAATAGCCGATAAAAGTTATTAGAAAATACCTTTGCTTTTAAAGCATTTATTAGCCAAAACTGTATAGCGCGTGGTAAAACCAATATATATTTGGCGAATACGCATGGATATATTTTGTAAATACGATGTCAGTGATATTGAGTTCGAGTTGTTCAAAGCTGTTTGGCTTGGTTAACGGATTGTGAAATCGATCGCAATATAAAATGTGCGGCAGGAGCAGAGTAAAATGTCATTGTTGATATCTGGCAGGGGTAACGAGTACATATCGATTGACAATGATACGCGAGGGAACCGCATCGCGGTCCACTCTGACGCACACATTCATCCAGCTATTGACATATATGCACGTATGGCTACAGCGATTAATAGGGTACCCAAGGAAAATGAGCACGTCCATCTTTCAATATCGATCTATTGAAATCAGAGTGGGTGATAGAGCTCGCTGGCGAACCTTTCGAAGTCAAGCCTTCTTCATATTGCATTCGCAAAATGGAAATCACAGATGCATTGCACTTGAATAAGTTCAAAAGAAGAATGCGTCTCTCTTCTACTATACATTATCGACATAGTGAAATGTTAATATATTTTATGGAAATAATAAATTATTAACTTGTGTTTTCTCGAATTATCAAACTTTGTATTTATTTATGTATTTTGTTTCGTTCCGCATTTTTCTAATTGTTCTTTCTTAACGATATTTAATTATCATTAAAGGTTTTACTGCTATTTTGATTTATTATGACTTTGTAAATTTTTATTTTATAACGAAATTAATAAAAATTTCTGAAATAATAACAAATATAAATATCACTAGAAAAAAGATACATTTTCTTTGAAGCTATCTAAGTGCATTGTATCTGTGAATTTCATTTTAAGAAATTTAAAACGAGGAAACAAATCATTCTTTAGTTATTTTTTTAAAAATCGCAATAAATATTTACAAAAGAATTAATTTTAAGAATTGCAAATTTGTCGAAAAAATTGTATTCTAAATTAATTTACATTTGATTAAAAGATATATATTATTATCATTGCTCTCATTTTAAAATTTTTGACAAATAAATATAAACAATTTTTGATTTATTTTAGTTCTTCAATTGCGAATCGTTGCGCAGATTTTGTATA